AAATATTAAGCAGGTTTGGTGGTGTGCTAATAAAAGAGCAGGATGACAGGAAAGAGTAAGATCTTGAGGTAGCCTGCTGGAATGGCTCACTTATTTGTATTTCTGTTTTTTAACTTTTTATGTCTACTTTTTTTTCTCTTTATGATAATATTCTTATTGATACTATAATTTATTTTTTTGGTGGTGGTGGTGGGGGGGTGATTGGTAAAAAACAAAAACTGTCATTCATTTTGGGATTTGAGTAATTTTATTGTAGTTCTGTAGGTGACCTGTAGGGGGCATTACGCCTTTGTTGGGTCTGGTCTGCCGCAAACAGGAGAACAAGAGGAAGATTGAAACATTCAGGCGGAGGGTCGTTGGCGGAGGAGACGGAGACGGAAATGAGTCAGGAGTGGAGATTGGTGGCGGGAGAAATGAAAGTTGGAGTGAAGTGAAAACGGGGAAAGCCAGGCAAAAACGCAAACAAATAAAAGTGAGGCAAATAGAAAGGAGCTCAATGTCAGAAGAAACAGATAGTGAACAAGCGAGAGGGGATGAGGAAGAGCGTAAGGTAATCATCAGACTGGAACAAGAAGGTGCTTCAGTCGGTGAGTGGAACCCGGTTCTACTTACCGAGAGCATAAACAGTCTACTGGGAGAGATAAAGAATGCGAGAGTTCTGCGCAGTGGAGCACAAGTGGATTTTTTTAGGGATTCCCCTTAGTCTTAGTGTATCTACTGAACAGATTAAAGAAAACATGAAAGGTGCCAAAGTGAGGGAAATCAGACCCCTGGAAACTACTCGTGAGGGCCAAAACTGTGACAGCCTGTCGGTGTTGCTTACGTTTGATGAGAATCCCTGATAAAGTGTTTATCGGATATATGAGCTATGATGTTAGACTCTATGTTCCTCCGCCGTTGAGGTGCTTCAAATGTCAGAAATATGGGCATGTAGCGGCAGTGTTGTAAGGGTAAACAAAGGTGTGGAAGGTGTGCAGGGGAGCATACTTCTGCATATAGAGGGTGGGAAGTCAGTAAGAGAGCAGAAGAGGTGCAGTGAGTGAAAACATCCCAAGGGGTCACATAAGCAGAAGCAGTCAGAAAGGTGGGGATGCAGCCAAACGGCAGTAGTGTTAAAATGAGAGCATGTGAGGGATGTAGTGGAATTAAAGAGGACACGCTGATTGTGAAGAAAAGGCAGTATAAAAGGCAAAATAATAGTGAAAGCAGCAGAGAAATATCTGGGAGTTGAGGCTATTGGGTGGGAGGAAGTGGAGGAAGCGTTGAAAGGAGGTTCACCCAGTTCACAGACACTGTCACAATCTTCTTTATGGGGTGGTGGATCATCATGGTCATAAGTATTTTGCAGTGGAATGCAAGAAGTCTTATAGCTAATGGGCAAGAACTTAAGAAGTTTATTTCAGGTCTACAGGATAAACCCAGTATAATATGTATTCAAGAAACATGGCTGAGAGCACAATGGGATACACGCCTATAAGGAATGACAGGAAGATGGGGAAAGGTGGTGGGGTGGCCATTTTTGTAAAAAATGGAACAAGGGTCAATACTGTTCAGTTAGGGAGAGAATGTGAGTCCATAACAGTAAAGGTTTGGACAGGCAAATATGAGCTAGCAGTAATTAATTACTATAATCCATGCAACAAATTAAGTGTAGATATATTAAATATGGTGTTGGGGGAAGTGCAGGGGAAAGTAGTGTGGTGTGGGGATTTTAATGTGCATAGCACTCTGTGGGGGAGTGAGAGAACTAATGCAAATGGCTCTATAGTAGAAGAATTTATAGACGATAAAGGATTAGTATGTATGAATGACGGGAGGGGAACAACGTATGACTGTGTGCAAAATAAGGAGAGTGTGATTGATTTAACGATGACATCAAATGAAATAGCAGACATCACTGCTTGGGAAGTGATAAATAAAACATTAATGGGTAGTGACCACTATCCAATTGGTATTAAGATTGGAGTAGAGTTGCAACGAGAGGAAGACATGAGATTGTCAAGATGGAAAATTGATAAAGCTAATTGGGGACTTTATCAAGAACTGAGTAGAAACAGATTTGAGCAATTACATAAGGAGGAATGGGCAGATGTGGATGAAATGAATAAGGAAGTAGTAACAGCTGTAATAAAATCAGCAAATGAGTCGATACCAAAAGCATCAGGGTGCAGAAACAAAAGGAATATGCCGTGGTGGGATGAAAATTGCAAACAAGCAATTAAAGCACGGAATAGGGCATTTAGGCTGTTAAAGAAACATAATTCAATGGAGTCATTAGTTCAGTGTAAAAGGTCACAAGCAGTGGTTAGAAGGACAGTTAGAGCAGCTAAGCGTGCATGCTGGAGGAAATATTGTAGTGATGATAGAGATAGGGGGATAGTGAGATAGGGCGGGAGGTAAAGTTGTCAGATGTTTGGGGAATGATCAGGAAAATGAATGGAATAAGAAGGAATATAACAATCCCAATGCTAATAAGTAATAGTAGAACAGCAATTAGTGGGTTAGAAAAGGCGATACTATTGGCTGAAACACTAATTAAAGTTCATAGTTCGGAAAATCTATCAGCAGAGGCAAAGCAGCAAAGGAGTATTATGCTAGCACAAAATACATGGATTAACAAGAAAAAACTAACAACGGAAGAGAATCTGTATTCAGTATGTATGAGTTAAGGAGGGCCATCCCCAGCACCAGGAAGTCAGCGCCAGGGAAAGATGAAATTTGTTACTGTATGTTAGATAACACGGATGACAGGTCACTAGAGGTTGTATTGAAATTAATTAACAGAATATGGGATTTAGGGGAGATTCCAGCTGCATGGAAGCACTCGGTTATAGTGCCAATTTTAAAACCAGGTAAAGTTACATCAGATCCATCAAACTACGGACCAATTGCTCTTATGTCTCAGGGAAAACTACGGAAAAGATGGTAATAGAGAGGTTGATGTATTTCATAGAAAGTAGAGAATTAGTTTCTTCATATCAGAATGGGTTTTGTAAAGTAAGAAATACAATGGACTCAGTATTGTGCTTAGAATCAGAAATTAGGAAAGCACAGACAAATAAAGAGATAGTGGTTGCTGTGTTTTTTGATATAGAAAAAGCGTATGACATGTTGTGGAAAGAAGGCCTGCTAATCAAACTGGATAAGTTGGGAGTGGGAGGGAAGATGTATAACTGGGTATTAAGCTTCCTGTTTGGGAGGACGATAGAGGTCAGAGTAGGAAAAGAGTACTCAGCAGTATATATGTGGCAAATAGGTGGGGATTTAAGCTATCAGTTGCAAAAACAAAAGTGATATGTTTTGCAAAACGCCACAAAGAAATATCAATGAAGTTATAAGGTGAAACACTGGAGTAAGTTAAAGTAATTTGTTTTTTGGAGTGCTGTTTGATGAAAAGCTTACCTGGAGGCAGCACATTGAGAAGACAAAAGATAAGTGTAAAAATGTTTATAACATCTTGAGATGCTTATCAGGTCGTGATTGGGGTGCAACCAGGAAGTCTCTATTAAATATATATAAAACCATGATGAGAGCCAGATTAGATTATGGGAGTATTGCATATATGCCAGCAGCTGAAAGTCACCTTAAGAAGCTGGATGTGGAGCAGGCTAAAGGACTCAGGATATGTAGTGGGGCGTTTAAGATCTCCCCAGTTGCAGCTCTGCAAGTTGAGATGGGGGAAGAACCGTTGAGAATAAGAAGGACCAAGCTCATGTTGGCATACTGGGTACATCTGCAGGGCCATAGGAAATCTCATCCAGCAAAGGCCATATTAGAGAACTGCTCAGAGCATGAAAAATCAAACTTCTGGAGCTTAGGCTGGGTTGGAAATGTAAAGGCTGAAAGCATTGGTTTATGTGATATGCAGTAAACATCAAATGTTCCTCTACCAGAAATTCCTTGTTGGTTGTTCCAGATGCCATCAGTAGATTTTAATATTCAGCAGAAGCTAAATAAGAAGACAAAACAGGGAGATACTGGAATCATAGTACAAAAGTATATTGAGCAAAATGATTCAAATAGGGTAGTAATATTTACAGATGGATCAAAAGAGCCAGAAAATGGGCGCACCGGAGCTGCAATTTACATCCCAGAATTCAAAGTAGCAGTTAAGAGGAGAACAACAGATCATGCATCAGTATACACAGTAGAGCTCCTGGCTATCACGATCGTACTGAAATGGTTAGGAGGAGACAACAGGGACAATGCACTCATTGTGTCAGATAGCTGGGCAGCTCTTAGCAGTATCAAAACCATGAAGTCATGCAGGCGAGATCTAATCATTGAGATACATCATATGTTATACGGCCTTTATAACACAGGGAGGACAGTCTGTTTTATATGGGTTCCTGCTCACGCGGGGGTTGAGGGCAATGAGGATGCAGACATACTCGCTAAACAAACACTCAGGTTACAAACAGTGAATAATATACTATTAGGGAAAGCAGAAGGAAAGACCATCATTAAAACACAAATGCAAAAAGTTTGGCAGGAATATTGGGACATAAATGAGACAGGAAGACACTTTTACAACATACAAACACAGGTGGGGAAAGGAGGAGGAGGCGGTCATTACTCGTCTCAGGTTAGGGCACACAGCTTAATAGCACATTATACAGAACTGCAAAACATCCTACTGGTAAATGTAGATTGTGTGACCATCCTGTGTGAAGGGATATGAGAAAGAGAGGAAAGAACTTAAAGCAGCGATGCAAAAGGAAAAAGTCAGCTTCACGGTAGGGAACATGTTGCAAGGCTTAGAAAGCATTAGGAGATATGTGAAAAAGTATTTGAGGAAAACAGGGTTAATGGATAGGTTTTTAATATATATATATATATATATATATATATATATATATATATATTATTATTATTAGTATTTATTTTTTCCTTCTTTATCTGTCTTCTAATGTACCACACTCCAGTCCGGTAGGTGGCGGCAACGCACCTATAAGCTGGATGCCAGCCGCCAATGAAATCAAAAAGAAGAAGAAGAAGAAGTCAGGCAGAGGGACCAAGAGGGGGCAATGGCGACCGTGCAGTGCTGTAAATGCACGGCCGAAAGGAAAGGGTTTCGGCGGGAACTTGATTCTTGGCGACACAAATTGATACACTGCGTTGGTATGATCCATGTGCAGTTTTTTTTATTTCGTTTAAAAAAAAAAAAAAAAAAAATGTATGAGATTTCGCCCGGTAGCAGAGGGACACCTTAACTCATACAACGTTAAGATTGCTAACTAATGCTAGCTGAAGGCTACCACAGGCGGCCAGCTGCAGCGTTGAGTTCAGCTGCAGGATAAAGGACCAGCGGGATAAAGGACCAGCGGGATAGCCTTTCCATAGTCTCCTTGTTCTTTGTCCCTCGGAGCTAGCTTGCTACTCGCCGGTGCTAGCTCTCTCATGTAGTTTTTTCTCTCCTTCTGTGTGACTGAGGCGATATCGAACATGTTGCATTAAGGCGTATCCTTTGATTTGTAGTTGATCGATGGTTAGAATGATGGCTGGATTTGTTTATTGACATATATGTCGGCTATGCTAGTGGGCTGCTAACATTAACACCGCGGTGTTGTTTTTTTTTTTTTAGGGGGAGGGGGTTGTTTCTGCGCTGGGGCAGCTAATGTCAGTGCAACATGAGAAAAGCGTACATCCCAGTGGTCTCGGGTAGCGGGTTTCCACGAAGCGGTTTCTATTTTGAACCCGTCTTTAAGCAGTTAGCTTCAGGCTAGCTCGCACGAAGTGTACCGGGTTTGGTCTTGTTTGTGACGTTTAGTCAGAGTGACATCAGAGGCAGAAAACACAACACGAGAAACAAATCGACATATTAACGCGTGTGCTATTCATGAATCGTATCCATTGTACTCGGTATTGCAGATGTGGGGGGGGTCAGTGAGTCCACTCTGTCACAACCTGTGTTATTGCCGTCAAATTGGTCCGGTTAGACACACGGATAAAATGGGTAGAACATGCATCACACAGCTGTCGAGCAGTGTCTTGTTATCTTGTACCAGTATTTAATGATTGTCTGTTTATTTTGTCTTTCAGGGTTTGAAAGCATTCTGGAGGGATTTTATGGCCCACTACTGCTGAGAGACCTCAATTTATTTGATGGTGGGTGTTTGTGGTTGTACTAGAAATAGTCTTGATTACTTTCTCTTTTCATAGCTGTTTTCATATTATTTTTTTCTGTATGCCTTAGACCCACATTTATTCCTACAATGTACTTTTTTTTTAATGTCAGAAATATTATTAAATATAAAAGTAACTAGAAATCTCTCTTTAGATTTACACATATTCTCGCATAACTTTAAATCTAGTTTCTATCTGTGTTTCTGCTACATGTATTTGGGTCTCTCACCTGCTCCTGTAATCAAACCTGCTCCACATCACCCACTTCCTGGAGAAAAAAAAAAAACAAAAAAAGTCAGACTCCAGTCTGTACAGGTGTGCTGCTTGACACCCCGACGTCCAAAGTTTGGAAGAACTTTCGACAAAAAAACCAAACACATTTGTACTATATAAAATAAGCATTTGCATCATAAAATATTCCAGTGATCATTCATTTAAGAAGGGAGCGTGGTATCAAACTTGAGTCAACCTGAAGCAAGAAAAAAACAAAACACTAGCAGTACATGGCACACAGGCCCCTAGTTTCTCCTCTACAATTTTATTTGTAAGGGCATGAGCCTATATAGCATGAATGAAAATGCTGGATTAGGATGCATGTAACTATCACCAGAACCAAGGTACACAACATGCAGAAGAATGTTTTTCTGTGAAAAATGTATCAGACCAAAATGTCAATGCCGGCAGTAAATTATTTGGGGGTCATTTGGTCTGTAGATGTGTTATTATAGTAGTTTTTTAGGAACTCAAAAATCATCCCCTTTATTCCGATACAAATAATGCAAATTAATTGTAATGAATGTTAGATTTGATATGAATAAAATTGAATTTCAGCTAAATTGAATCCTGTCAAGTCACCTTTGAAATGTAGTTTATTGACTCGTTGCAGATTTGTTACATCTGTCAGTGAAGGATATACACCACTCTACTATTTCCATTAGCTTAGAGTGCTTGCACTAACAACCAAACAGCACAGCTTGCTTTACACTATCTGCAGCCTCAGTGCAGTCAGCAGTGCCATCTGGAGTTTGAGTGAGGCTAGACAGGCACATAGTCAGATGATGAATGATAGAGACCCGGCAGCCATGATAAATCTGGTGAAAATACAGTTTGAGTGTTTGTGTTTGTGTGTCGATATTCCACTTACTGGCAAATCGGTTGAGAGATCATTTATAGATAAAATATCTGGAGTCAGGCGGTAGGCCAGCATTGGTCTTTGGCAGACAAACTGGTGTCAGCGTATATCTTATCTGATTTGCACCAATGAGAAAACTTTTTCACATTTTTTTCTCTAGTATATAATGCAGAAAAAAAGCATGTGGCAATATATTGATGTTACTGTTTTCACAGTAGAGTGTGATGCGAGTTACAATACTGTGGCAAGCAGGACAGAGTAAGAGAGAAAAAGCAGCTCTTAGCAATGTCAACTAGACTTGGTTGACAAAATATGTATATATAATTTAGTATGTATAATATATAGGTTAAATATATAAACAATATGTAACAATATTCTTTAATGTATTTTGTTTAAGAAAGGAGCCTCCTTGAGTACTTTTGCTTTGTCATATTGGTGAAAAATCCACATAGGAAAGGTCTGTTTTCATTCAAGCTCAAAAATGAACTATACATATTATAGATCATCATTTAAAGTGTTCTCTTTGCATAAAATTGGTGTGATGACGCATTTTGGAAACCACTTCTGCCTCTTGTCAAACTCTGTATCGTGACCACAGTAGGAGGCTGTTTGATCCTTAATGTATCATAATTTATTAACGCCTGGGTATGTGATATATTGTGTCTTTCAGACTGTGAACCTGAAGAGGTGGATGACTGGTCCCCAGAAGCAAGCTGCTCTCAATGTTCATTCTGCAACCTTCCCTTGGACAAACTCAGTGTAAGATAATCCGCAAATAGTGTTTATTTTGAGCCAATTTAGGTTATGCTCAGCTATTGACAGTTGATACTTTTAAGGGCGCCGACTGAATTACGTCGGTGCTGCCAAGTACCGAGGTTAAATCAATCGGTGCCAAATTGCGGTACGTGGGAGTGCGTCTGGGTAAAAGAGAGTAAGGTAGAGTAGAGAGAGAAAGAGAGGGAGCACCTGCAATTTGTTCAAGTCACGGTGAGTCAGGACATGCAGGCTTTGTTATGCAAAAATGTAAACCTTTGGAGACATCTTGTTTATCACAAAATATATCTACAAACTGAAGAGTTCCCCTGTAGCAGTCACAGTTAACGATAACACGCCTGCAGCCAACACTGAAGTTAACCTTCTATGTGCAACGAAACTTTTAAGTCATTGACAACTTCATTAGGTAATTAATTATCTAGTTGGATAAGTTGCTGGAGACAGCTCGTTGTCTGGGTTGACAGACAGGCTGGACTCACTGTCTCCCCCCTCCTCGCACTGTGTGCAGGCAGGAGTGTTTGAGTGACTATGGTAATGGGGATGCTCTGCACAACTTTATTATGATTTCCAAAAAGAGGCAATGTTTCCCACAGGATGACAGGTTAAGTGTGGCAGGGACGGTAATATATATTACTTATTTCACTACTGAACTCTAACTACTCTAACCACCTTGCTTTAGAGGTAATGACAGCTGATGTGTTCACTGCTGTTCACTCTTGCTTTAACGGGTCCGTGCTGGTAAAATAAACCGTATCTACGCCAAAGAGTGTCTGTTTCTGTGCAGTGTGACTGTCAGTAGACTGTTCAGGAGGGGGTAATCAATCACTGATATTTGTACTGTGAGTGAGAGATGCTTTGCGGCGCAAAACACAGTGTTAGAGAGAAGTGTAAAAATATTTTTGGTTCGTTATGAATCTATGGCGGGGGAAATTAGACTACGGCTCGCTGCCAGACTCTAGGTAATTAATGAAAACACTGAGAGGTTATTACGTTAATATGTCTGGGAAAAATCATGAATATAATTGGGAAGACACCCTGGTTAGGTTTGCTCTCCTGATTTATGCTCTAATGTCTGTAAGTTGGCAAGTGTACTTATCAGCTTGACAGGATTATTATGTAGCGTTATGTGAGTGATTTTTAGTATGCCCAAAACCGTAGTATGAATTCAATCACATTTTTGTTCTTACAGAGAGAGCATAAAGTACCGGCAAAAGTACCATTGCATAACGTTGTTGAATTCCAGGTATAGGTAACGGTACCCAACCCTAGTTGTAATAGTTAAGAGATATATATATATATATATATATATATATATATATATATATAGTTAAGGATATACTATATTCATGATCTGAAAAACTTTCAGTAAAGTATCCTTTCTCTTTTTTCCTTGTAGGATCAAGTACCCGCAGCCACGTCGCCCCTCTCCTCCCCCTCTGATTACTCTCCCTGTCAAGCTCCAATCATCTCTGAGAGCAGCCAATCAGCACACCGGTTCCTCCAGGCTGTGTTCCACAAGAAAGGTTAGTCAGGTGTCTTTTACAACTCTTGGAAAACAGCATAAACGGGCTATCTTATGGTACACTAAAAGCTCCTGTTGTAGGCGCACAGCTATCAGCTTTTTCCCTGTAGTGACTCAGTTGCTATCTATCAGCTAGAAGAATTATGTAACGATGCTCTAAATTGGTGTAATGGAAAAACAGGACTCGTCTGTCCTGAAAGGCTCCAGATTGCTTAACTTCCAACTTTCAACTCAGACTTGTGGTTAAAAAAGTTAGGAGGGGCCAATATTGATAGTGTGACATCATCATCATCATTATTATGATTATTATCGTAATAATAATTACAATAATTTTGTAAAACAAATCTTTAAGTAGAAATTATTGCCCACCCCTACCTTGATGTAAGCAAAAAGCAGAAAAGGAGTTAGAAAAATTGATATTTCCCAACTATTAATACTTAAAAGTTTCCTGTAATTTGGGATGTTTTAGAGATACTTGTTACTTGTGTCTGAACTGGGAGAAATTTGTTAAAATGGATTTATTGTAAAATATCAGAAAATGTTCAAATTAAATCGAGTATTTTTTTTTAACTTATTCCTGTGTCTGTGCCTTCTTCATTAGATATTCCCCTTGGCTGTGATTCCAACATCCCTCTGGTTGCTCAGGAGCTGATGAAGAAGATGATACATCAGTTTGCCTTGGAGTACGCATCCAAGTGCCTACTCCACACCAGTACAAATGGTGTTACAACAAGGACCTCATCACCTCTGTCAGAAACATCAGATGCCCCTCTGGACCTCACAGTGAGCCGAACCCAGGAGGAGAAAGAGAGTGAAAGTGAACCAGGTAGGGAAAGTAAGGCAGGCTTATTGTGAATTCAAAGCCAATAAATAAATGTTTCCAGCTTTCCAGACTCTCAGGCCACATTCAAACTCAGGTGTCGGTGTAGCTGCAGGGTCATGCAGCGGTGTTGCGTTTCTTCAAAAGTTGATTCTGTTTCAGTGTGTCCGCTAACCACAAACGTTTTTTTCCCTCACCGTTGCAGCCTAAAGGCACTACGCTCATTCAAGATGACGCCCGCTGAAAGTATCAAAGTACTGTAACTCAAACCCTAACCAGTTTGAATAATTCTTCTTGTAACAGATGGCGTGCTCGACCTCTCCAACAGGAACTCTGCCTGCTCAGCAACTTCATCAAAATCCTCATCTAATCACAGAGCCTCAGGGTAAGAGTTATTTTATTTATTAATTTATTTTTATGACTGCTGAGGAATGACGGAAGGGAGGGGGGGGGCTGCCGCTGCAGCAAGGCCTCAGCCTTGGTACGTGGGACACCAGCTCTACCAGGTGTGCTACTCGGGCACCCCAGGGTAAGAATTTTTAATTATTGGATTTCCTCTGTCCACACATTTGTGTGTTATACAGCCTGCACAAGGAACCCCCATCATTATTATTGGTTAAAACTGGGGTTTTTTTTAAAAATACAATAATACATTGAAATACTTTTTTTTGCATGTGAAGAAATCTCAATTTCTGAGTTCAGCTCTATTATCTACTGCATTTCCCTTTAGGTGTATAGTATGGCTAAGATTGGGAGATTAGCATTAATACTGTGTTGTGTAATTTCTACCAGCACGGCTTGATTTAAGTTAACTAACTAACACCTCTCTGGCCAGAATAATATGGATACTCCTATGTTTAGCAGTGCTTTGGGTCAGTTCATTGTTAATTGAAAGCTTGCATTTGGTGTTCTGTGGGGTTGACTCTTTTATATCTTGAGCGGTAACGTCACAGCAATGACACCGTATTATAACATTTGCCAACAGCTCAGGATTGTACAATGAGGAGAACATTGCAGTATCTCACAACGATTTTACCTCCTTTTTTACTGATCCACTTATGATGAGTTTGATTATTCAACCTTCAAGCATGTAGGACTCTCACTGAAGGATATCACGTGTGAGCGCCAAAGTAACCCCAGCCATTCACAGACTGTCCCACCTGGACGTGAAGAGGCTTTGCCACACACACAAAGAATGTGTGTGTGCATGAGAGACACGCAGCAGTGTGTGTGTGTATGTGTGGGTGTGTGTGTGTGTGTGAGGGCACAGAAACAGACTGAGAACAGACAGACATGAAAGATAAGAGTCGCAGTGATGTTACCAACACAAGGCATAAAGGAGTGGACCCCTCGCTCTGCACCCCCCCCTGTCCCCTATGCCAAAATCAAACCACCTCCATCCTGACCCTGCTGTTTGGTCCTCCCATCCCTAGGAGGCAGCGCAGGCAGAAGGAGGAGTACATTGAGAGGAGCTTGGAGCTGTCTGAGGGTTTGCTGTCCAAGGCCTTGAAGGATATACGTTCAGGGAGGCTGCAAGAGCAGCGGGCTGCGTTGCTTTATGGAATACCTCTTCACACCCTGAGGCAAGGTCTGGACGGCTGGGCTGAGGGAAGGCTGGGGATGCTTCATCAACTTGCACCAGGAGGCAGAGATTTCAGGGATGAAGTGACATCCTACAATGTGATGTCATCAATGTTTGGTGGTGAAGCCCGCCTTGTTCTGCAGAAGGTGGCAGCGTGGGCAGAGCGGGCAGAAATTGGAGGAGTAGCAGAGGAGAATGGAGATTTGAGTTTCCCTTCATCCTCTCTTAGCTTTTATCAGCCGAGTGGTCTACAGAAGACCCTCCCCCACTCTTTTCCCCAGCTCAGGGATGCGCTCAAGCCACCACCAAGCCCCACCCCCAGTCTGGAGTCACCTACGCCCCTGCGTATTCCTCAAGTCCGTTCCGTGTCTGACCATAACAGGTCAATCCCAGCTGAGAATTGCAGCGCGGCTGAAAATCAACTTAAACGAACCTCATCAACAGAAGGTACTGCCAGTTCATCAACAGCTACTGCTAGACCTTCATCGCTCTTCAAACTTAGACCTCCTTTCTTACCACATGGCTGTCCAGGCATTGCCAACCAGTCACCTCATCGCCTGGGACCACGCGGGTCTTCGCTGGATGATTCAGAAGAGGGGGCAGGAGGCCGGGATAAAGACAAGCAGCCGAGAAAGAAACGTGGAAGATACCGCCAGTATGACCACGACCTGCTGGAAGAGGCCATCACCATGGTGATGGGAGGTCGCATGAGTGTGTCAAAGGCCCAGGGTGTTTATGGCGTGCCGCACAGCACACTGGAATACAAAGTCAAAGAGCGTACTGGTACACTGAAGAACCCGCCCAAGAAGAAATCTGCCAACTTTTGTTCATCCAATTCCAACTCATCTGGATCTGGTACCACGACCGGTTCCACTAACTCAGGGACTCTTGCCTCAGCTGCTGACGCAAAGAGGTTCTAGACCACGAAACGCCTCCAGAACTCCTCAACACTTGAACTCATCACCTCTTACAAGATAAATGTTTTCTGGAGACATTTGTTAAAACACAACACATGCCTTTACAAATTATATGGATATCGATATTCAGGTCTTTTAACTATGTGTCTGTAATGTGATAGTCATACTTTTAGCATTTCTCTAGCTTAGTCCTGGTCCAGTCTCTGGGCTTTGATTAAAGCAGTTACGAGGTTCAGCATTTTTCAAGAGGCAGTGGTGCTCATTGCAGCTTTTGTTCACACGGGCTGCTAAACTCAACAAACTCCTCGTAGCTTCAGGTTTTATCACTAAAGCTAAACGATCTTTAAGGATATGGCTTGCATTATATTATCTGTTTATTGAAATCAACAAATCAACCTGTGGAAAGACCAAAACTAAAAATTAATTTTATCCTACAAACATGTAGTATATGTGTGGTCAAAGCCTCATGTATTGAAATTTTCAGAAGCCACAAGTTTCTTTAATAGTTTTTTGGTGGCAAAGTGTCAGATGTGTCTGCACAAAATGCATTAAATAACTGTTAAACTTTTATCTCATGTGACTGAAACTTTGCTGCTTTAGTCCATCACCTTTTATAAGTTAATCTTATTCTCCTGTGCCCCTGTTTTACAGGTGTGCATTATAGTCATTTCTGCATGACAATGAAGTTCTACAGTACAGAGATATCATTTTTATCAGTCTGTGGTTTAAAAGACTATACTTATAAGGAAAAATCTGTTGTTGGTTTTGGTCTTGTTAGGAAATTTGTTGGTAATAACCAGATAAAAACAAACACCAGCATTATCCTTAAAGAGCTTCATAAAGTTCTCAACTTTGTTTTCAGAATTCTATGATTTTGTTTTTCCCTCAAGGAGAAAAACTGACATTGATTGTTATCCACCAGATTGCCCAGGATCAAGTATGAGAAACACAGTTGTGGGCTAGAGCTAAGAAATAAAGTGTGACTCTCATGTTTGCTAGCTGTTAGGTTATTAGGTTATTCAGGTTTGATTCAATTCTTAAAGCTCCTTGTTAATGGAGCGTTGATGATTGTCATTTGCAGCTTTCTATCTCTCTCTGGGTATTTTACCTAGGCTACTGAAGTGACTTAGAGCCATTATAACAGATTAAAAACTCATTGCTATTGGTAGACACCTCTACAAACAGGGAGATTGTACAGTACAAAGTGCTGTGGTGGCTACATCTTCATTATGAGTTTTTGTTAAAGAGATTAGCTTAACAAAGCCATTTCCTGTCCACATAGTTTTCCTCTCTATTTGTGCAAGCTAGTCTGAACATTGTATTGAGTGTAGTTGGAATGCAACTGTGCAGCATGTTTTAAAATGTGCACTGATAAGCTTGGGAAATATGTTATTGTGTATGTGTACTGTTTGTGAAAGATGTTCTTTTTATTATCACAGATATTTACTGATTCTGCTACTGTAGCTGTATTACTGTAAACCTCATACATGACTGCTGCTTAAAACTTTACGCTACTGTACCGTTTCCCAGGCACAAAGAAGCGTAGCTACAACAAAGAAGCTAATTTCACCTAGAATTTAGTGTACCGATAGGGTTAGATGTTATTGATGGTTGATTGTGTAGGCGACTTGAGGTTACAGTAGCTTGTGGTGAAACATAGGCAGAGGACTTGATTCAGTACGATGCTTACAGGCTTCTTTGTCTGTGTCTGGGGAAATGCTAAATGTTGCGTGTACACTCATGTCTGTCTCTGAGATGAGCCTATTTCCATTAACAGTGCTACTACCAAAGCAGCAGTTCAGGGTTACCCACACAAAGCTGCTTCGATTTGTTTTGCTGTGATGTCAGCCTGCCTGCCTGTGTCTCTCTCTCTCTCTCTCTCTCTCTCTCTCTCTCTCACTCTCACTCTCACTCACACTAACCTCGTTGCCACATATACCTCTGAACTTTCTCGGCCTATAGCCCAGTGTCAGGTTTCACATCAAGGCTTCTGTGTTATGATACTGAATCTACTGGGGTATGAGCTCATATTAGAGCTGTTTGTCTCTTTAGGAACAACACCTAAGTGTAAATATATTGCCATCAACAACATTTTAACTTCTTCAAGTAGATTATTATACAGACTGTCAGCCATTAAGTGGAGTGTGAAGGAATTTTTTAAAAATGGTTTTAACTCTGCCCTGCGGCATTTACAGGAGATCTGCCATGTATCTCAGCTTGCAACCAGGAAACAGAGATTCCTGGTGCAAGTATTTGTCCTTGTTGGTTATCTTTCTATGTGTAACTTGTCATTTTAAGGCTAATTGTAAAGCTTTTTATTTGTAACTTTGGCAACTGTACAAATACTGATGTCTCCGCTCCTGAATGTCTCCACTCATAACAGTACACTGCCTGCCTGTGTCTGGGGCTACAGCATAGTGCAGTATGATGTCTCTACTCTGGGAAGTATCTGCTATTTATATCAAAGGGCCAGTTTGTAAACAAGCCTAAACACCTCTTAAAAAATAGAAAAAGTTAATTGTTTGAGTATATTCTGGGAACACACCTGGGCTTGTTTTCAAATTGAGCCTAGGGCATTTTTTTGTTTTGTTTTGGGTTTGGTTTTTTTTGACTGAACTGCTGGCAAATCTTTGAAACGAGTTATCAGAAATCTGCTATTTATGCATAAATCAATTATTGCACTATGATTTATAAAAAGCATTTTTGTTGTAGAAACCTGTTTAGTGTTGTTGCTGCATACTTATTTATTGATTGTGCTAAAGAACTGTGATTTTACTGGTTTGATTGTTGTAGTTCTTGATTTGTGATGCGGCACTTTGATGCAATGTGAAATGTGTATTGCTACAACTGCATGAACGCTTTTAAATGTTAGCTTATATAATTTATTAAGTCCTGAAATGAAACCCCTGACTATTGTGGTTGTTTAGTGCTTATGTTAAGATGAGATTATTTGTGATTTAAAAAAATGATTTGATTATAACAAACTCAACAGTAACACTACAGAATGTAACACTCTTGTACTATATCCAGCCCAGTTGAACAGGTCTGGGTGCAAACAATACTTATATTGTTAGAAATAATATCCACTATCAAACACGTAATTTTAATATTATTTAAATCAATGACTTGCTTTTGTATTGAAATTAATCACTCACAAGACCTGATTTAACTGTTAGTTCATTTGAACATTAGAGGTTTTTTTTGATCCGTTAGTTTGTTGGTGAAAGTGCTGTTGGAAAAAAAAACATTTCGGTTTAAGCGTTTCTACAATCTTTCCTTCTGCTTTTAGCAGAATGTTATCGTTTGCCTTCAGCAACTCATCAATAAAACGGTTCTTTAATCAGTTGCCTTGTCATAATTTTACTAACATAATGGTTTCTTTTAGTGTCTTTCAGTTTGTAACAGTTTACCAGGACAATTGTTTTGTTTGTTAATGTTTTCAAATAACTGTTTTTTTATGCTGGCTTGAGATAAATAACAATCGTTGCTAGAATATCAACTTTCTCTTTCCACCCCAAAACTTTCTAATCATAGTTCAGAGCACACTCGCTAAAAAATTGATGTATGTACTGTTCAAGGCAATCACAATGTGTGGATGTTTTGTCAGACGTCAATTTCAGTGTGTACTATCATTTTATACAGAGGATATCTTCATATCTTTTAACCATTTTTATGTGGTTAATTTTAAGCTGGTGTATATTATGTGTTCTAATGTTAGTAAATGCAGACAATGCAGTTGGCACATGCTGCAGGCTACAAACAACTTTTATAATACAGCAATAATAACTGGGAAAATCAATTGATAGAAGGGTAATAACATTGTTCACTATAAAAGTGTGCATCGAGAAATTTGAAGTAATGAATTGTCAGCTACAATATCTATGGTACGGCTGCTGAAGTCATAAAATTATACAGGCCCCATGGTTACAGAATATTCAGATATGGATGGAGTGGAAATCATACCAGATTAACACAATATAAAGTTTATAATAGTAGTACTTAAAACATAATCAGTCTGTGTGATTACTCATTTGTTGTTTGTCACTTGAAAATCATCTCCGCTATGAGTAAAACAGATCTTTTTTATTTTTCCCTCTAGCCCCCTGCTGCAATCATTTACAGAAAAATTGGGAGATCTGGGACAGCGAGGGACTAAGTGTCATCAGAGCTCTGCGTTGGATGTCGTTTTCAGCTCACTCTGCCCATCACACCGTTCCTTACTCTACCAGATCCTGAAGCTGGCACACGAGGAAAAATTGCTGTTGCTCCCTAATCACAGACCTGTTGATCAAATTGAATCTCATTGCTGTCACTGTGGTGTAAACCCACAGGATAATGTTACCCCTAATGCAGTCCCATTTAGTGAATGTAAAGTCCATAACAGCTGCCCATACTACCCTTTAACTGATTGTGATCATCAAGGTCATAGCAGCACAATGTATAGTCCAGGAGACTCCAAGTCCAATTGTAGTATCCATCACTACCCTTTAACAGACCGTAAAAGTGAAGCTCCACAGGACTCCAGCTACTGCTCTTTGCAGAGTTCCAAGAGCGAAACATGCCCTGTTCTCTTTCCCAAGAGGCTGCACTGCATTTCCTGCCAAAGCCTGGCTGTAGGTCGAATCAAGAACACAGTGTGTTCATTTGTATCCTCTCCCTCGTCACCTAAACCCCCTTCACTGTGCACTCCCTCTTCTAGTTTATGCCCTTCCTCATCGATCTGCTGTAACCAGCACAACCCCCACTCCCGTCACTGTTATTCTAACCATGCCTGTCTGACACAGGTCAGGAACATAACAGAAACAGGGGTTGGAGATGGGGATCCTCCTTGTCCTGTCCTGAAGAGAGAGCAGAGCCCCTCTCCTCCCCCTCTGTCCCCTATACCTTCAGACATAAATAAGAAAAGTGATGAAAAGCCACCCTCCCTCCTTCACCATGGACAAGAGGAGGAAGCTGACTTAATGGTTAAAGATGGCCTTGTGAATGGAATCCACCAGGAAACAGATCTGGAAAAGGAGCAAGAGTGTAAGACCCTAAGAAGTAGTCAGGCTGAGCAAAACCCAAGTGGGACTTCACTGCAAGATGTCATGGATCGCTTCTGTGAGAAACTGGAGACAATCAGACCTATAGAGAAAGACCCACCTTCGGTTTCCACAGCTATTTATGTCTCTGAAAAGGAGCAGCCACAGTCTCCCTTAACCAGTCAGAACGTGCAGTTTCACGCTGATTCTCAGCTGACTGAAATCATCACCACAGTGCTTCATACAGGCAGTGCTAGTGACTACAATCTCAGTGAGCTGTTCAATCGCCATGATAGCAAAGAGCCCAAGTCACCAAATACCCGCCTCCGTCGTCGCCAAGAAGTCCTTGCTGCTATTGCAACACCCACTGATGATGCTTCAACCAGAAGGCAAACTTTAAAAATTAAAAGAGACCTTGCCATGTTTGACCAGTCCTACAGTAAGAGAAAGGTGCCACTATCAAAGAGGGCACGATTGAAAGATGGAAAAGCTACTGTAACTACATCAAACACTTCATCAGATTCAAACCTAGTTAAAGAGGAGTCTAAAAGAGAAATGGAGGCAGATGTGGAACCTGTAGAAAAGTATAGAATTAGGGAGGGACCACTGAACATTCTCACTGCAGAAGGTAACAGGAATGAAGTAAAAGAAGAGATAGAGACCGTTACAGTTACAGAAGTTCAGATCATTAAAGCAGAGGAGAAAGAAACTGAGATATCCAGTGAGGAAAAAGATCTTACTCTCTCAGCCACTCAAATACCCAACCCTGAGCTGCAGTGCAAGTATGGAAACCAAGGCACAAACAGTGACTGTGTACAAACAAAGGTGATGACAGTGACTGCAACCTCAGCAAAACAGCATTGCAGGCCCTGTGAAGAAGATGGTATAGGCAGGGATGCTGGAAGTAATGCAGACCATGAAGAAGTCCCATCAGCTCAACATTCTGACAGTAGACCAGATTGCCATTGTCCTGTTAGAGAGAAACAGAAATGTCAATCACACCACTCCAATGAAGGAAGGAGATCCAGGAGAAATATTGTCCCTCCACAGCGGTTCTCCTCTTATGTCACAGAGCCTAGGAAGATGTTCTTTGCTGCATGTTTCTCTGAAAGCATCTTTAATCAGAAAACACAAAAGGAAAAGGCATCAACATCCAGCACCCCAGATGCCTTATCTAAAGATCCAGGTGCCGTGGACACCCAGCTAGAATCAAGGTCTTTAGATAAGGCATCAACATGTAGCACCCAGGATGCCTTATCTAGACATCCTGATGCTAAGGACACCCAGCTTGAATCAAGAAATAAAACCCATCTGTCATTACCTGAGCACACATGCAAACCCTCCTTTGAATCAATGCATAGAGAACAATGTGGCTCAACTACTCAAGAGTCAAACAATGTCCTTCCACAAACTGTGGTTGCCAAAGAGAAGAGTCCTAAAAAACACAAGGATAATGGGACAGATGACAGTGACTGTGGTGCCAAACCTTTTGGAAGACTACGATCATCTCCAAAAAGACTACAGGACTTAAAGACATCTTCAAGAACTCCCCAAAACACATCAAATATCGATGTCATCATTAAGTCTGCTAGCTGTGTTGAGAGCCCACCCAGCTCCCAAGCTCAGTACACTAGTCCAATTAAACTCATGTTTGTATCACCAGTAAAGGATTCGGAAGGAGTCAGATATAGTCTCAAATCAGCAGGTGCAGGTTCTAGTGGACAAGCAGTGGAACCCTTTGACCCATGTGAAGAGTCTTCATGGTCAGGGACACTTCAGAAACACAAAAGCCAGAGCCCTGAGTCTGTTACTTCACGAGTAAAATCTATTTCTTCACCACTAAAGTCCGCTACCTCACCTGCAAAATCAGCTTTTTCACCATCTAAGTCAGCTTCTTCGCCAGCCAAGTCAGCTTCTTCGCCAGCCAAGTCAGCTTCTTCGCCAAGCAAGTCTTCTTCACCAGCAAAGTCTGCCTCTTCACCCAAGTCAGCGTCCTCATCACCCAAAACATGTTCCAGAAGGTCAGGTGAAGGTACTCCAACAAAGCGTATAGCTGGAACTGAGTGCCAGAGATCACCAGGTGACTCACTATCTTTTCATGAAACCACTCCTCCAAAAAGACGACCAGGTCGGCCAAAGAAGCTGGGACCGCAGCTGGAGCAAAAAGTCAAGAGGCCAATTGGTCGACCACCCAAGCCGAAGGCTGTTGATTCAGTAATAGGGACAAAAACGGTAAATGGAAAGTCTGATTTACCATCTGACGTTAAGGAGAATGTAAACAAGAACCTCAAAATAACAGTGGTGTATGGTCGTTCAAGGAGAAATAAACGAACTGTGTCTGAGGGCTTTGAACAGCTGCAAACAGAATTCCATCATGCTTGGCAAGCAGTACGCCTTAAAAGTGACTTGGGCATGAACAGGGCATTAATGCACAACTCTAACATCAGCTCAGGTAGTGTCAAAACAACTTCAACAGAATTGTCAAAAGAATCAAATTTTGTCTCCCCTTTGAAAGAGTCTACCCCTCAATCTAGCAGTAACATCAAATGTCAGAAGCGGGATGATTCTGTACCCTCAAGGAAACCAGGTAGACCTGCAAAAGTTAAAATCTCTGGTATCTCAGTTACAGTAACCACAGTATCACCTCGACAGCGTAAAATTCAGATAAATAAGGATACTCGGCAGTCTCCTGAATCGCTAATTCGTAAGAAAAAACTTCTACCAGAATTCAAAACTGCCAAAGAGCCCTGGACAATCAGCTGTCAATCAACAAGCAAAAGCAGTCCAACTGAGGAAGGGATAGAAACAAAGGATGAAAGTAAAGACAAACTGCAAAATCAGCCTGTAGCAGTGCGTCACTCAATGAGAGTGAGAAAGCCCTCAATTCACTTTCTACACGCTGTTGCCACCTCAGCTGCTCTGCTACGGCGCTCTAAAAAACTTCTGCTAAACAAGGCCAGCAATGAAAGGAGACAGGCGGGACAACAGATTAATGTAGAAACTTTAGGGGAGAAAAGACAGCTCTGTGGACAAGAGAGGAAGAACATCTCTCAGGACCTGAGCAAAGTGGCAGAGGTGTCTGTAGACTCCATCTTTACCCCAAAAGAGACGCTAAGGTGGTGGGCAGCATCAGCCCAGGGCAAGACTATGAACCAGGAACTTGCCAGGCGAATACGACTCATCTCTGACACCTGGGTCTCAGACACTGTGGAGAATCAAGAGAAAGAAATTGCCTTTAATTCTAAACTAGGCACCAAAAGTAACAGGAAGTCAAAACATTCCTCTGTGGTTCGAACGCTTTTCGACTGTTCTCCCAACAAACCAAGGTCCTGTAGCATGCAACAGCTCTGCTCCTGGTTTATGCAGACCACGGAGACTCAGTCTCTGGCTATTGTCAAGAAAGCAAGCTCCCGTAACCCTTACGAACTCATGCACTTCCCCCGTACGACCAATAAAAAAAGTGTCTGCCACAGTCCTCAGGCAGAGCGACTCCGAAAACACATCAAGAAATTTGCCAAAACTGTGCCAAAGAGTCCTCTGCAACACCAACGGGCTCAAAGAAGGTTGAGAAAGAGGATTGGGGCACCTAGATCAACACGTAATATTAGGCGACAACTTTTCACTCCCAGATCTGCAACAGGCAGGCTCAATCAAGGAGACCAATGGAGGAAAAGCAGCATATTTGGCAAATACCAGGCCACTCTATTTAGAGCAAGTACAAGGTTCCTAACCCGGAAGGAAAGGGAGAAGTGGAGAAAGAGGCAGAGGAATAAGAAAAACATGAAACTAGCTACAAGTTTTTCAAATGCATTGACTGGACTACAACCAAAACGTAAGGCATCAGCAAAGTATCAGTTATCTGACTGTTTGGAGAACAGTTCTGCCACCGGTTCTGTTGACCAAACTCAGGAGCCTGTGGATGTACCCAAAGAGCAGAACATTTGCTCTAAAGCCTGGAGTCCTGAGACGCTAAAGGAATGCCGGGTTTTTCTGAGGAAGATCAACTCTCCAGACAATGAATCAACTGAGGAAGAGTGCGACTCCTGTACTGTGACACTGGATGATGGGTCACTTTCTGCATACCTCTTTGCAGGAAGGGAGAGAGAACTGGTAGGAGTTGTTAAAGCTGTGAAAACTGAAAGAAAAAGGAGCATGAAGAGGACTGCCTCAAGAGAGCTTGCAGGTTCTGCAACTAAATCAGTCCAGGAGCAGGATGAGATGCCAGTGGGGAGGCAGAAAGGCAAGTACAAAAGTCCCGGGGTTGTGTCTACTGAACCACCACAACCACCACCAGCGAAAATGTTGAGACAATCGCGAATGAGGGGCCTAACCGGACCGAGATGGTGCGACTTTGTGTTGGGTAACTATCTTGCTCATTTTTTTTATTGAATATCACACATCAACTTTTAATAAGCTTCAGTTTAAAAACACCACAAAATCAACTTGTACTCTTTCCTTTCTAACAGAAAATTAAGGAAGCGTGAGGTCTCATCCGACCTGGGAAAGGGACTGTGGTTTAACGTGGTGCCTTTGGACATTGAGCTGACCACATGGACTGACCATCCCACTATGGTTCAGTCTTACACTCAGCAATTATGTAGCAGTCTAACTTAACAAAAGCTTGATGTTGCACTATTTTTATCCATGGATATGTACCGTATGTACAGAATGTTTTTTTTTTTTTTTTGTCAACTTGCCTTTGTCTTTCTGAACCTGTATAGTAGATCAAATCATTACGTCAAACAGAGTTTTAATGGGATAAGTGCTTATACAGTGAGCCCTGTCAAGAGTGGCTGTATTGGAAGGAGAGACAAAGCTTGACTGCATTAAGACTGCCATCTCCCCCCTAAAAAATACCTCATTATCAAGGCCGGCACTTCTTTCTGACATTTACCTTTTTCTGTAAATCTTTAGCTAAAACTAGTAACAGCTTTTAATACTTTAAGTTATCTCCACCATAGACGTGTACAGCTCTAAAATCCCCCATCATTAAATGTTTTATTTATAGTCACTTTGTAACTCTTTAAATTCCAAATTGTTTTGTATTTTAGATTTGAGGAAAGTATGTTGAAATTTACTGACACTCTTGATCCTAGCCTTGTTTGCAATATATTTCTTTGATGCTTTAGTCACTGAATTGCAAGCCAGTAGCCAAAAATGCGGTTTGAATGAAGGAATCTACCAAACCCCATCTTTATCCCAATCGCTGTTAGGCCTTTTCCACCAACAGGGAACCGGCTCTGTTCTGCACAACCAAAGAGGGTGTGTTTGTTTCTACAGGCCGTTGTGCATTTTATGGCGCCCGCTGTTGATGATGCACTCTTGATTACAATGGTTCTGCTCAAAACAGGCTGGAAATGCAGGCTGGTTCGCTAGATAGCACAAAGGTTGAACGGAACTAGAGATAATTTGGTGGAAAAACACTATACGTGTATGGGCCCCAACTAGAAAATGTCCAAACCAAATATTTTATGTCATGATTTCTTTTTCATTATTTTCCATCAATATTTGCAAGTCTTGGCACCAAACTGCAATTAGCACAAACATACATGTTCTAAATGACTTTATTATTCAACCCCAACAATCCCACAAAATGTAGAGGTATATGTGAAATGAAGAATATGGCATTATGCAGTTGTAGACAGTAGACTCTGATTCATTTGTTGGTTTGTGGGATCGTATCTTTTTTTGCGATTTGTCTTGTTTTCACCCAAAGCATATACTGTACGTTGGTGTCAGATCTCCTTCTTGCACTATTCCATCTGAGATTATTAATCCTACTACACAGATTCCTCCCCCCATATTTTGCACACCCCATGTCCCACTTCCAAACCCTACTGTAAAACTAGAGAATATATTTGGTGCAATACAAACCCAGATGATTTATCAGTATGTAGTAATTATTTTATTGCTGACAGACGAATGGATGTACGCAAGTACCGTTGGCCTGGGATGTTACTTCAGTTGTTTCCATAGCCATGTAATGTGATCTTAAAAGACACTGCTATACAAACTGTATTTTTTCCCACCTGCTTTTTTTCCCTCCTCAATGAAGCAGAAAAATTATAGATCCTTAATTGTAATAATAGCATTGAATATTTTTTACCATACTAGCATAATTTACTGTTTAAATGCAGGTGGGAATTGTGTTGCTGTTAAGGTTTCCTTCGTTTTTAATCAATTTGCAGCAAGACGCCTACCTCCCCTGCGGCTCAGCTAGGCCTACTGCTCTTTTGCTTATCAACCGTGTGCTAGACAAGGCCAGACAAATGATCGATAAACACTAATCTTGGATCAATATCATGTTTTCCTGCCCTCTAAAAGATCCAAGTTGTCTGGCTGTAGGTCAAAACTTAAACCTGTAGTGTGTATTGTGTGTCTGACTACCCTTGTATGTGTCACTATGGTTGCCATTTCAACACAATGGCGGTGAGGTGGCTCGGTCTTGTGATAAATAATTATCAGCCCTCTGTTGAAGAACCTGGTGCTAAACATCTGTTGTATATTTTCTTTATTGTGTTTTTATACTGTCCATTACAGATGCAACAAAGAGGTATCTGTGATCGGAACAATAAAGAGTCTTTTGAAATAACCAGTGAGCAGTGTGGTTTGTAGTAGTTAGTGAAATGCAAAAAAACCCATCCTATAGTTTCCACTGTAGAGCATCCTGCTACACACCTGCACTGAAGATTACATTCAGGATTATCTGATTTTTATTGGTTGGTATAAAGCCCGGCAACTTCATCAATCCAAAAAGTCCTTCAAGTGAAACGCTGGGTTTCATCAGGTTCAACTTAAGATTTAAGTATTATGAATGCAATTTAAGACCTATTTTTCCACCCATACAAGCAAAAAAATAGTACAAAGGAAAATCTGCATTGGTTTCATTTTGTAGCTATTACAGCATGATCATTAGTTTTTCCCCAACATTTAAAAGTGAGGCTGAAAAATCTGAAAAGTAACATTATCTCCATTAAGACCTATCAGAAATAATATTTAAGGCCTCTTTCAGATTTAGTTATTAGATTTAATATCCCGCAGAAAATCTGCTCATTCTTTGTTGAACTGCTCACTACTGATATCTATAAAAGGAGTTAAAAAGACTGGAGACCACTAATGCAAAGTTTCATTGAACATTTTACTTTAATGGTTAGAATGGGAAACAGATAAAAGTTCAGAGGAAACAGGACACATAAAGACGTGAACCCATTTTAAGGGCTTTTAAAAGAAAAGTAAATACTGCTGCATTACCAAAGTATGTGTAAGATATATTAGACTGGAGTACTTGAACACTAGTTAAAAATAACTAATTTCAATTTCCACCTTTGCATTAACTGTTTGTAATCTGGATTCTACGACACATTGGCCTCCTGGTTGATGAGGGTGTTGAGGTCCAGCTTGGTCTTCTCTAAAGCTGCAGTCTTGGCCCTCCGTGAGGGACGCACCACAGGAACTGACTCTGGAACATTTTCTCCATCGCTGTAGCCAAAACAAAAATGAGCAGAACATGATGAATAGGTGAATGTGACAATATAGTGACGGTATCAAAGAATTCTACATAGGTATATATTAACAGAAACCCTCACCTCTCCTCCGATGACTCTGCCCTCCTGCTCGGCTTTCTGCCCCCTTTTGCTGTGCAGACTTTCCTCTGGCCTGAACACACACACACACACACACACACACAGACACTCAGGTTACCTCACAATGCTGAGTCAACTCCTTGACTCCGGTAGACGAGAAGAGCTCTAAAAATACAGTGGCACTATGAACAATGGAGTTTTAGATGAGTACACAGAACCTGCATTACCTCTTTTGGCTCTCTTGGCAGATTTAGATGGATCGTCTGTTGCAGCCTCTGTGGGAACACGACAGACAGAAAATTCATATTTTTGCAGTTCCTTTCTCTGCTAGCTGTGTTCTTGTCTTGATGTACGCTGAGTAGGGTGGAGGAAGGCATTGTTAATCCACTTAGCAATGTTCTGGTAATAAGACATAATCCTTTTTACGGGAAGAGTTGCCACAAACGTGTAAGGTATATCTAGTTAGACACAGGCACTGAGAAGGTGATATCTGTTACGGATGCTCAGCCACATGTTGGGTGGCCTTTTATACAGACTGTGTTTGCATTTGTACCATCTGCATTGACATCCAGTGGTTGTAGTGCACTGGCGCTGAGCAGCTCGGCCTGTTCTTTTGAGTCCACGAGCTGGTAAATCATCTTCTCCAGAGCACGGAGACAGACACGATCCTTCACCACCTGAAGAAGAGGAGGATGGAAAGAGGAGAAATCAAACATTAGGCCTTTTTCGAGAGGAAAATACAGAGACATGAAAAAGTATTGAGAGTGGCTGGGTATTCTTAGCCACACTTGGTTTGTCCACCACTTGGTGCAGACTAAAAATATTTCAACAATAGTTTAATGGATTGCCATGACATTTTGTACAAACACTCATTAATCCTACTGAGTTTGGTGACTTTTCCTCTAGTGTCACTACAAGGTCCGCAAGTCTCGCTGTGTCTGTATGTACCTGTACAAGCTGTTGCAGCAGCGTCAGCAGGTCTTTCCTGACAGTCTCATCTCTGCTGAGCTCCAGGTTGCTGAGAGTCTTGGCATAGAGACGCACCTCAGGGGCTGTGGGGTCCTTCAGCATCTCCCCACACATACGCACCGCCAAGTAGTCATGGACACACAACTAAAGACATGCATTCAGTAAAGTCAGTTTTTTTTTTTTTCCTCATTGAGCTGTTATCAAATTAAGCCTTTTGGGAGTAGTTTATTCTAATAATTGTAAATTAAAAAAAGGTCAAGTGTGTGACATTTAGGATCTATAGGGAGAAATGAAATATAATATTCAGATATATTTTTATTAGTGTATAATCACCTGAAAATAAGAATCAGTCTTTGTTACCTAAGAATGAGCCATTTATAGCTAGATGCTGCAGGTCATCTTCCATGGAGTCCGCTATGTTTCTACAGTAGCCCAGAAGAGACAAACCAGACACTGACTCTAGACAGATAGATTTTTTTGCGTGTTTCACATCCACCGTAGTCACTCCTTCGTGTTTGGAATGGTGCCACCTACACACTGGACCTTTAAAGAATCAGCGTGTAGGATTTAGTGGCATCTGGTAACCAGCTGAATTCAGCTGAGCTTACCAAACGCTTTGGAGAAACTACAGTGCCTATGTAGAGCCAGTGTTTTTGTTTGTCCCTTCTGGTTTACTGTAGAACGTGGCGGTTCAACATTAGGGCTGTGTATTGAGAAGAATCTGGCAAATATGCACCACAATACAGGGGTTACGATTCAATATATTATGATATAAGTTTAAACACAAAAAGCGATAGCACTTTTGAGAATCAATGCTGTCACAAAACAAAACAAAAATATATATTTGATCATTTTATCATTTTTTCTCAATATTTTCTTACACCCCTATCCAACATGGAGGACACTGTAGAAAAAAAACGTGCTCCCTCTGTGGATAAAAACAGCTCATTCTAAGGTAACGGAAACAACAATTCTTAATTTAATTTGATTATATACTAATGAAAACATACCTATGAATATTCGATTGGATTTCTGCCAATAGGTCCTCCTAAATGTTACACACTGGACCTTTAAAATGTGGACTGAAGCATTCAAGACCATTTGCAGACTTGAAGGAAGGAATGAATACATATTTGTGGGAAGAAAGCAATATGATAAAAAGCTCAGAGCACCAATAAAAACACAAACACTAATGAGGAATTTCTCAATGGAGACAACCCAGATTGATCCTTGAGGGTTTTGTGAGTTCACAGTAGCCTCAGCGATGTTTCTTACCTCTGTGTTAGTTGAGGGCTTAATAAGTGCACTTGGACGAGTCAGCTCCACAAGTAACTCAACCACATTGTTAATATCCACCTCAGCTAGTGGAGAGGTGGCTGGGGCATTCATCAGAGTCCGAACAGTGGGCAGGAAACTCTCCTCCACAACCTCCTGATGGGCCCTAATACACACAAAGATACGCTCCATATTAGTTTGTATTGCATGACTAATAACTTCACCCAGGCAAGTAATCATACCAATAATAGGGCGACAGGAAAAACACAGTTGTAATGAATTAAATTAACCACAGTTGGTTGCTTGCGTATGGGTGCATGTGTGACCTGCTTTCGCGGGCGTAGAGCTGGAAGAAGACACCAAGGCAATGCCGTAGTCGGGTGTCGTCCTCGGTAACAGGGTTGTACCACAGCAACACCAAGCGGGAGAGCATCTTGGCACTGGAGATGCGGCCAGTGTACATTAGTTTGGCCAGGCCCTCTGCTGTCTCTGTACGTAGGTCAGAAACCTGAAAACATTTAACACACACACACACACACAGACACACACACAGACACACACAGACACACACACACACACTTCAATTAAACGGTCTTCTGTTGTTTTACATCCAAGGAAACTAGATACATATGCTAATGCTTCATGCTTATGAACCCTCAAACCTCACCTCACTGTCCAGGAACTCGGAGAGCATCACAAGTATACTCTGAGCGGTGTCCTCTGGTGCGTCCCCCTTCTCCTCAGTCCCTGCTGCGTCCTCCTCCAGTCTGTCTGGTGACTGGGAGGGCTGGGCTGTCTGAGTGGCAGCTGCTTCCGAGAGCAGCTGGAAGCTGAAAAGCAGCAGCAGGTCGATGATGGCCCGCAGAGCACTGATACGGATCTTTACCTCATCCAGCTGGGCAATCTGAAAACACACACATGCACCAATTTTAGTACTGATAGTATGTGACTCCTGTCTGTGTCTTTGGGTCAGTGAAACTTACCTGGGTGCCATTTCTAGAGAGACCTGTTGCTGTTACGTTTATTAAAAGTACCACAAATTCAATTAAATGTATCTATATTGTATTGGAGCAGCACAAGTCTCAGCAACAGAACTGTATTTGAATTGTAGGTTGATAAAAACACAAGTGTATGACATTACCTGTAGCAGTAAAACCATGTGGGCTTTGGCCAGTTCCTTGCTGTGCAGAGTGCAAGTTCCCAGACACACCACGGCCATGTTACGGACCGCAGGGTGAGCATTTGCAATACAGGGCAGGACCTGACGGAGATGGAGAAAAATTGTGAAAAAAAACAAAAACAATAAGCAATGATCAAAGATAACTCAAAGGTTTCTATAGTTGTATAAAAAGTGTCAGCCAGAGAGACAAGGAAGTAGTGAAAGAACGTTTGTTTGGATAATTTTACACATATATGAGAAAACGTATGCACCTGATTTTGTCATAATTGGCATCAATTAATTAAGATTAATTATGTATATGGTTTGGTATATTAAGAACCTTTATCTCCATCTGATCCTTGTTTTGTCTTTCCACCTGCCATAAGACTGCTGAACACTATATAACCATTCCCCCTTCTCAGGACTTAGCCATCTTATATTTATCATTGTTAGTATCTTTATATTGTGTTATTTTTATCTGTCTTTTATACAAAAGATATATTTATCGCATTTTTCTTATTTGTATTATATACAAAAGTTTTTTTACATAGGCAACTAAAATTGTGCAATATATATTATCTACAGGTTTTTTTTTATATAAAAGTT